CTGAGGCATTAAATGCCAATAAAAGAGACAAAGACTGCAGATGGCTATGGAGTAGGTTCTCATGGGGGAAGGCCCTGCACATAGCTGACAAGCTGAACTGATGCTAATAGTCCCCTAGAGGCTACAAATGGGTCCTGACAGGAATGGACACTTACTCTACATTGGGATTTGCTTACCCGATTATAGATCAAATTGTTCATAGTAGTATAAGAGGACCAGAACAGAAGATACTGCACCAGTATGAACCACTGAGTCACACTTCTTGAGCAAGGAACATGATTACAGCCCATGAAGTCCAACAGTGGGCAAAGAGATATCCCCAGGGTAATGGAACAAGTGATGGAATTGAATGGAAGCAATTTAAAAAGAAAAGAATTGGAACCATCAACTGAAACATTTGTGGTCTAAAAGGAGGGGTGGAGATAAAGGCAAGACGGGCTCCCTCACAGGCCTTCATGATTGTACTTAACATGAGGGAGGGCCAAGGGAGGGCTGATCATCACTGTATAGATTCCTCTGCTTTTCTGGGGGATTTGGGAAGAGATAGTTGGGGCATAAATGCTGGTATGACCATGCAGTGCTTCCCATGGGGTGGGAGGGAGACGGTGGTATGACTATGCTTTTTTTCCTTTCTTGCCCACATCACCTTTTTTATTACTACCTAAGGCAGTGGCTCCATACCAGAGCTGCAACTGTGGGTGCAAGAAGCAGAGATGATTCCTAAGCAAGAAATTGAAACTATACTTTTAAACCTTTATGTCAGAATTCCTAAAGGCCTAATGGGGTGGGTTGTGCCTTGACCTCACCACCTGATAAACTGGGCTTAACAGAGTATATAGATGTATTGCCCAGTGGTCAAGATAGCATGCTAGTTCTATAACTATGTAAATCTACCCTATATCATGAAAGGAGTGGCCTTGCAAAAATAACAGGAAAATACCTAATCCCACAATTTCCCAGTAACAGTTAAAGTTCAATGCTATGAGTTCTCTAACAGGCACCCTGCAGAAATTATGTTTTCAACAACTTCTGAAAAGAGCTGAACATATGGAAAAGAGAAGTAAATATTTCCATTAAAATTGTTTTTTGAGAATCTGCTTTTATAGAGTTCCTGAGAAAATAGCAGGAAAACAAGCTACAGCCTTAATGGCATCCCAACTGCAGAAGGACAGAGTCACATTTCCTGCGACAATTCCATTTCAAGGCTCAAAAACCAACTCTTGAACTTTGACAACCTGCTGTTGCTTTTGTTGTCAACTGACAGACATCACTATTTTTTTTCTCTTTGTCCCCCTTAAATCAGTAAGCCACTTGACCTCAGTGATAGCATCTCTTGCTATTTCTTTGGTATGCCACGCTGTCTCCCTGCTGTCTTCCCTGGCCTCCCCTCTTCACTATCTCACTCTCTCTCACCTCTAAGAAAATAAACGTTTTTTAACTTTTATATATACTAATCTTTGTGTGAGAAATCTTTCTCTCCCCACGCCATGAGCACTTACTAGGCTTTCCACCCTAACATATCATTAGGAGTGGACTGAGCCAGAGGCACTGCTAGACTAGTATTGCTGCCAGCAATCTGGACCAACATACTGGCCAAACCTAACATCCCTTACAAAGGTAGAAAACTTATGTATAAATGAAGAGAGAGAGGAATGATAGCTGAGATTTTTAAAATGAGTAAATTTGTTGTGTAATGTGGGAAATTCAGTATTACATTAGCACTTGTAAAGGAAAAATAAAATCTTAGGACCCCCAAAACTCATAATGCCAAAAGATGTAACAGAGGGACTGGCCTGAAAAGACTGCAAAAAATTTTTTCTTTTAGGCCGGGCGTGGTGGCTCACGCCTGTAATCCTAGCACTTTGGGAGGCCGAGGCGGGCGGATTGCTCAAGGTTAGGAGTTCAAAACCAGCCTGAGCGAGACCCCCAAAAATAGAAATAAATTAATTGACCAACTAAAAATATATATACAAAAAATTAGCCGGGCATGGTGGCGCATGCCTGTAGTCCCAGCTACTCGGGAGGCTGAGGCAGTAGGATCGCTGAGCCCCGGAGATTGAGGTTGCTGTGAGCCAGGCTGACGCCATGGCACTCACTCTAGCCTGGGCAACAAAGTGAGACTCTGTCTCAAAAAAAAAAAAAAAAAAAAATTTTTTTTTTTTAAAACATCTTCCACTCCTTTTGGAGAACTAAAACCTGCATCCCTGCCTCAGGCCAGTGGCCAGAGGGGTAGGGGAATGTCTAGTCCAGGGCAGAGGTCACAAGATTGTCTTCCAGGAGATGGGATGGATGAGCAATAGCCTGAAGCTGGAATCCCTCCCTTTAAAGGCTCTGTATTTCTGCGTATGAGTAGGATGACGGCATTTTAGACAGGAGTCTCCATCTCCCCATTTGCTGGCAAATTAATAAATCTCTTTTTCCTCAACCACTTGTCCTTGTTCTTCTGATGCAACCTTGGGGACAAGTGCCAGCTTTTGGTAACAAAGGGACTGCCATCCTCTCCCCAAAGCAAATAGTTATGATTTCATGACCCTGTGTCATGACCTTATGCATAAGCCAGATTCCCACAACAAAGATCCTTTGCCTCTCAGGATGGCTTTCCTCACAGATTGCTTACAGGAAACTATCTTGTTAGCTCCAAAACCTTTCAGCCCCCTATAAAACAAGCACATGCAAATTATAACCTTAAAGCTACAACCTAAACAAATCTTTAATCCTGAGTTGTTAAATTTCACACTGATGATGTTGATTGCAAGTTTATCTCCACAGATGCAAATCAAAGACAGATGAGATCAGCCCATTGCCTATCCCTCTCCATTTCCTTTCTCTTGTTTGCCCTCTTCTTTAAATACCCTGTTTCCAAATCCCTGGAAATAGAGCCCCAGCGACAGATACATTTGTGGCTTGTTCTTATGCCAGACATGTCCTTAGACTTTGGTTTAATAAACTTTATTTGAGTGTAACTCTCGGTTTCAATTACTCATTATTTAAGTTATCACACTTTGAAAGAGGCTCAGAGCAAGAGTAGCTCAATTATATCAGATAAATGAAAGGGTAAAGCCATAGTTGGTGAGACAACTCCTGCTTTCAGAACCTAATAAAGTTGAATACAAGACTGTAAACTTGAGTGATACCATTCTGGGAGATATTTTAGTCATATGAATAATGATGAACTGGAATAATTGTCAATGATTGACTGGGACTCTAGTAATGTGCCCGTATCTTTGGCTCTTATTTTTTCATCTACTGCCATCCTGTGACATGGTGTTAACATTAGCATTTTTGGTAAGGTTATAATACCAGTCAAATGTATTAGTAAATTGAATTATAGCCCTCTCAAGATGAATACTAACGGAAAATGACTGGCTTGAAGAAGAATTGGACTAATCATCAGCTAATTTCTATTACAAATAATTCTGCACAAGTTTATCACAAGTAATATCAAGAAGGGGAGGTAAGAAAGAATAATCAAAACACAAAATGTACACAGTGGCTTTATGGAATGAATCAGTTATTTCTTTCAATCTATCCCTAACCTATATTGGCTCCTCCAAATGTTAGGTATATTCATAATGATAGTAGGCTGTGTCTGTTGTATAAATACTATACTAAATGTAGATGCACAGAAAAACATGATTGTTTTTGCTTAAGAGCCTTGGCCAAAGACAAGAGGATGGCCTGTGCAGTAAATATAGATGCTCCTCAATTTTTTATAGAATTGCATCACAATAAATCAATCATAAATTGAAAATATCCTAAGTCAAAAATGCATTTAATATGACTAACTTACCAAACAGCATAGTTCAGCCTAGCCTACCTTAAACATGCTCAGAACACTTACATTAGCCTACAGTTGGGCAACAATCATCTAACACAAAGCCTATTTTATAATGAAGAGTTGAATACCTTAAGTAATTTACCTTAAGAATTTACTGAAGGTGAAAAATAGAACTGTTACATGGGTACTTGGAAGTATGGTTTCTACTGAACGATTTTTATTGCTTTCACACCGTTGTAAAGCTGAAAAATCACATTAAGTCCAACCATCTAATTCAGACAATGTCTGTAATTTGGCCTTAGCCAAAGAGAGGTCTGGCCTTTGCTGCTATGAAGTAACCTATGTTATATCTGATATCATTGTCTTTGCTTAGTGACACCAGAACTTAGGGTAGAGCTGGGCACATATGACATTCTTAAGTGGGAGTTGGCCACATCAGAAAGAAATACCATGTGATTTAAGGTGGTGGCTCTGAGTCACATGGTATCAGTCTGCCTGGAGGCTGAGATCAACCATGCAGGCAATCATCAATCTAATCAATCAAGACTACATAATGAAGCCTCCACGAACACTGGAAACCAGAGCTTGAGTGAGTTTTCCCATTGGTAATATTCTGTGTTTACTCTTACACATAGATGACAGGAAGTTAATGTATCCTGACTCCATGGGAATGGACAACAGAAGCTTTGTGTTTGGAACCCTCCATACTCTGTGTTTCTTCCTTTGGTTGATTTTAACCTGTATCCTTCCTTTCCCTGTAATAAACCATAACTGTGAGTATAATGGCTTTCAGTGAGTTCTATGAGTCCGAACAAATTATTAAATAAGAGGTTGGTTTTGGAAATTCGTCAAACTTTCAGTTGATGTCAGAAGTGAGGGCAGTCTTGGGGACTCTCAAACTCTGCAGTTTGTCTGATTTCTGTTACTAACTCCATTCTACATAGAAAGCAAGGTATAGAGAGTAGATAAACTGCCTGAAGGGGCAAACTTCTAAACAGCAGAACATGAATCCTGGTTTGTCTGACTTCCCATTCACATTTTAGTTTTTATATTACTTTATACAAGATGACCATAACATATCAATAATACCAAGCATTAGATCAATATTTCATGAGTAGACATATTTAACTTTTGGACTCTTCTCGTATGAAACTTGAACTTAAATAATTATAGTTAACTATTAAGTGTAACAATTTTTACTATATACAGTTTTGACCATTACCGGTTTTGTGCAGTGAATGTTTCCCTCTGAGGATGAAGATCACTATAAACAACTCTGATGAGATCATGCTGACACAATGCTCCTTCTGTCAAAGCCATGGATCCAATTGTTGAGGGCTACAAAAATAAGGTACAGTAAGAGACAATGTCTTTAAAAGGAAGTAAAGGCCTGGCACGGTGGCTCACACCTATAATCCTAGCACTCTGGGAGGCCGAAGTGGGAGGATTGTTTGAGCTCAGGAGTTCGAGACCAGCCTGAGCAAGAGCAAGACCCCGTCTCTACTATAAATAGAAAGAAATTAGCCAAACAACTAAAAATAGAAAAAAAAAATTAGCCAGGCACGGAGGCTCATGTCTGTAGTCCCAGCTACCCGGGAGGCTGACACAGGAGGACTGCTTAAGCCCAGGAGTTTGAGGTTGTTGTGAGCTAGGCTGATGCCATGGCACTCTAGCCCAGGTGAGAGAGTGGAGACAGTGAGACTCTGACTCTCAAAAAAAAAAAAAAGTAAAAATCTATGTCAAGTAATGGTATTTAATTTTTTTTCAACTAAAGGCAGTTTCAGATCATTTATTCTTCTCTTTCAAAATATTTTCCATTCCGGGGAGAAAATTTTCGCAAGCTACACATCTGATAAAGGGCTGATAACTAGAATTTATTTAGAACTCAGGAAAATCAGCAAGGAAAAATCAAACAACCCTATCAAAAAGTGGGCAAAGGACATGAACAGAAATTTTTCAAAAGAAGACAGAAAAATGGCCAACAAACATATGAAACAATGCTCAACATCTCTAATCATAAGGCAAATGCAAATCAAAACTGCAATGAGGTATCACTTATCTCCAGTAAGAATGACCTTTATCAAAAAGTCCCCAAACAATAAATGTTGGCGTGGATGCAGAGAGCTAGGAACACTCGTACACTGCTGGTGAGACTGCAAACTAATTCAACCTCTGTGGAAAGCAATATGGAGAGACCTTAAAGCCATACAAGTAGATCTACCATTTGATCCAGCAATTCTACTACTGGGCATCTACCCAAAACATGGGTTCTCAAACTTTTTAAACAAGGGGCCAGTTCACTGTCCCTCAGTCGGTTGGAGGGCCGGACTATAGTTCAAAAAAAAACTATGAACAAATTCCTATGCACACTGCATATATCTTATTTTGAAACAAAAAAATGGGCAAAAACACCCGCATGTGGCTCGAGGGCCGTAGTTTGAGGACGCCTGACTCAAAAGATCAAAAGTCACTTTATGAAAAAGACAGCCTGCACTCGAATGTTTGTAGCTGCACAATTCACAATTGCAAAGTTGTGGAAACAATCCAAGTGCCCATCAATACATGAGTGGATTAATAAAATGTGGTATATGTATAACATGGAGTACTATTCAGTTTTTAAGAAACAATAGTGATATAGCACCTCTTGTATTTTCCTGTATAGAGCTGGAACCCATTCTACTAAGTGAAGTATCTCAAGAATGGAAAAACAAGCACTACATGTACTTACCAGCAAACTGGTATTAAGGGATCAACACCTAAGTGAACATATAGGAATAACACTTATCGGGAATCGGGCAGGTGAGGGGGGAGGAAGGGATGGGTATATACAAACATAATGAGTGAGATGGGCAACGTTTGGGGGATGGTCACACTTGAAGCTGTGAATCGATGTGGGGGGGGGATGGGCAATATACGTAACCTTAACATTTGTACCCTCATAATATGCTGAAATAAAAAAAAAAAGAAAAAAAATATTTTCCATTCCTCAATTATATAAATTCTATAGCTCCTTTTAGAAATTATATATGTAAAATATATAAAACTAAAAATAACCTGCTTTATTTTTGAATATTATGAAATAAATCTATATTTAGGAAAGACTAAGAAAAGTTGCTGAAAGGACTAAAGGTTAAAAATACATCAATGTTGTCTATATTCCAGAACAGAGTATAGCTGCTTATAACACAAACAATATTGAAGACTATGATTAAATGTCTCTTTAATTCTAACATAATTCATTTCATGTTTCTAAAATCAGAAGAACTACCCATTCGTTAATACTTCACTACTCTTTATTTTATTTCATAACATAATACACAGAACTTAACTAAAATCTATTAGTGAGAAATATTCTATGCTAAAATGATTCCTGGCTAAATGGAAGACATTCTATTTTCAACACAAAACAAAGTCCCAGGGGAATTAATTAAGATAACTAATAACTGCATAGAGATATGAGAGAAGCAGGATACTGTGTTACTAGGAAAATGAAATATAATTTTTTTTTTTGAGACAGACTCTCACTCTGTTGCCCCAGAGTGAGTGCCGTGGCGTCAGCCTAGCTCACAGCAACCTCAAACTCCTGGGCTCGAGCGATCCTTCTGCCTCAGCCTCCCGAGTAGCTGGGACTACAGGCATGAGCCACCATGCCCGGCTAATTTTTTTTTTATATATATATCAGTTGGCCAATTAATTTCTTTCTATTTATAGTAGAGACGGGGTCTCGCTCTTGCTCAGGCTGGTTTTGAACTCCTGACCTTGAGCAATCCGCCCGCCTCGGCCTCCCAAGAGCTAGGATTACAGGCGTGAGCCACCGCGCCCGGCCATGAAATATAATTTTTAGACTACTGGCAAAGTTTCTTTAAACACACTTTATGCACTAAAGGCCACTAAAGACCAGAAGTTTGATTCATAACACACTTATTATGGATCTTATTAGATTTTACTTAAAGAAAGTAGACAGAAAGAGTTCAGCTTAACAGGCATCATTTACCTATATGATTATAAGCATTCTCACAGTCCTCAACCAAATAAATATAAACAAAAAAAGTACATTACTGAAGATAGAAAGCATCAATTAAATTCCTTTAAACTGAAATATAACAACTAAAGCATTAACATTCTTCTAAGTAGTTATTTTTCTAAAGAATAAAAACAAATCAATCTAACAGGTGATTTTTAAGCAATATGAGAAACTTTAAAAATTTTCTATTAATTACTTTCTGCCTCTCTTGTCATAGCTTACTCTTACATCACTAATAACAAATATCTAGTTTTAAGAAATAAATTAGTAAAGATGTTTTAGAAATATTTACCTCTGGTAAGAAATTGATTTTTTATCTGTTACTCAATATAACTTTAAACAATTCCAAATTTCTAATGTTACTTACTTCGTGATATATGGAAGGCTTGGATAAGGAAGGGATAGTGAAAGATAGAACTTTATTGTTTCCATCTTTATCAGCAATTTCCTATAGTCAAAAAATATACAAAGATAATGAAATAATTACAAGTCCATATTATAAAAAATAATAATTACTTTCTTAACTTACAGAATGTATCACTGGCAATTGAGGAAGATTTTCAGAAATGGTAACATATAAAAATATGTCTGCCCTAGTGTATCTTTTCTAACTTAGCAAATCTGGACACTTTGGTAGTAGAGTTATAATCCACAGAGAGATACTAAGCAAAATACTATACTAAATCAAATACAACATGATATAAGGCAGGCACCCAAATCAATTTTATGTTAAATTTACATACAGGACAGGAAGATTACAAGTGATTGGATCTTTTAGTAGGAATATGGCTGAGCTAAACAAATTAAAATCAAAGGTCGTAGCCAAGAGATGCACACTTACTAAAATAAGAAAAACACACTGTTCTAACAGAACAATTTTTTTTTCCAGCTTTGAGGTATAACTGACAAAAGTTATATATATTTATGGTATATAACATGATGTTTTGATATATGTATATACTGTGAAATGATTACTACAATCAAGCTAATTAACATATACAATACCTCATATAGTTTTTTTAAATGGCGGGAACACTGAAGAATGAATCTCGAATGAAAGAAACTCTTACAATCATTCAGCAATAAACCACTTGAAATACACAACATATTAACAAATATTAGTCCAAGTGATTAAAAACTACTGAGCTGTAAGAAAATTCTTGTGATGTTTTAAAAAGCATTTTCTCTCTTCATAAAAAAGGCAATGGTTATCCTTCATTTCTCCAGCCTCTGGCACCTCCAATCTTCCTCAGGTATATGCCTACAGATGACAACAATCAGAGGAGTGCAAGGTGCATCACTCCTTTCCCTACTGCCTTATTTTTTTGTTTCTTTTACAACTTATATTAGTATGCATCACTGGCATAAAATCCATAGAAAAGTCATCTCTTAGACCTATAGGGTAGATACTCAGAGACTGAGTGGCTGCATAGCATAAAAGGAAGAAACAACAATAAAACAAAATCCAAAAGAATTTCTCTATAGGCCTCATTTCTGAGTTTGCTATGTCGTAAGAGAATACCAATTATATGTGAATAATGTCCATACCTCTAACTTTGGCAGGAAAATAGATTTAAAAAGTACTATGAGAGATCATGTAACTTCTCTGTAGTCAAACTATAATAGTTCCCACCACATCTGGGCCACAAAGAGTAGTGTACTGAAATTTGTTTAAGCTGAAGCAATATGAAACTTCCCCTGAGGCTACTTGAGGAAAGTAGTGTTAGGGAAGGAAAAAGGAGAAATGAGCATATAGAAGAAATCCAGGGTGGTAAGAAAAACAGAACTAGAGAGAAGAAAACACAGACATCAAGAGAATTAAAAGAAATCAGAAGCCTAGGGTTACATTTCTGACATATAACTGAGCAATTTTTCATAGTATACTAATTTTGAGATACCAAAAGATAATTAAATCATAGCACCAAAAGTACTGCCTATTGAACATGTTGTTTTGCAAAATATTTTTGCTTCATTTGTCCTATTACTGAATTTTATTACACCAAACAAATAAAAATGATACCTTAATGTTAAACATAACCTAAAACACTAAACTCAATTATTAAATCAACAAACATTTACTAAGTGCCTGTGATAAGCACTTCAGAAAAAAGTGATATATTTTTTTAAAAATTCCTTCTTTATAAGAAAAAGCAATTAGGCAAGTTAGGAAAGTAGAGATGTTTATTCCCAGACCAGCTTTTCAATTTAAAAAAACCCACTTACAATTTTGATGATAATAATAATGATAAACATTTATAAACACCTTAGGCAACATGTTGAATTCTTTGAATTGTTTTTAATCCTACTAACAATGTTTTGTTTCTGTTTTACAGATGAGACAACTTAAGTCAAGATATCAAGTAATTTGCCCAAATTTAAAACAGCCAATAAGTGGCAGGACATGGTTTTGAACTTAATACAAGTGATTCTAAAGCCCATGCTCCTTCCTTCAGACTTCTAATGATGGAAATGTTTTCTAAGTATTTTTAAAGTGATAATACTTAGAGAAGCAATGACTGGTACAGAAGACTTATTTATTGTGAGACTCAATTTTCTTACACTTTATTACCTTTCAATTATAAAACTAAACTTTATTATGAGAACTATTTGTTTACAATGTGTCCTGAATACACAGAATACAAGACTTTGAAGGGAAGAGATTTCAATACCAATAGTCTTAAACAGGCATCATCAGAAAAAAACAGAATAATAATGTTTAAGGCACCGAATTCCTTAGAAGAAAAGAGTTTCATAAATAATATCATATCAAATAATTACTAGTAAATTTACAAACTTTATGATCAAACTATATTTTGAATTGGAAATTTATATAAGCAAGCTCCATATCCTAAAGCTAGACAGAATCAAAAGTGTTATGCCAGTAGTTTCTCAATTATTCCCCACTCAATGACTGCAAGATATAAATTTCATAATTCCTTCTTGAGGAATTCAGGTAACCGTCCAATTTTGTAGAGGCACATGAGGGTAGAAATATGATGTTAGGCTATTTTGTTCCCTTGCATTGCACATGAAAAGGAGCCTTGCTGCCAAGTCTTCAGAAAGCCCTATATAGGTGTTCTCATGTTCCCAAACTCTCCTGTACCTTTTCACTTTGTTTCCTACAGTCCTGGGTAACCTTTAAGTTCTTCCCTTTTTGGCATATCCTCCCTATCTTGTAGAAATAATCAAGTCTCAGTTTTCAAGTTCCATGTAAGGCCCCTAGCATCTCAGAAGCGTTAGTGGTTTCTTATTTCCCTCTGGTTTCCATTGTGTTTTTAAAAAACATAACATGCTATAAAACAGTATATTGGACTTTTTCTTTCCTTAACTGATGCCCTCTCCTTAGAGAAGCAAAAATCCCATTTCTACTTCCCCTACTCTTCTCAATTATATATGTAGTCTTTGAAATACAAGTAATAGTGATTACATTTAATTTATAATCCCAAAGTTTCTCTGCATACCACCATCAGATTCATCTTACTAATACATAAATACAATTCTGTTCAAAACTCTCTAATTGTTTTAAAGAAAATCTAAACTTGAACTCTTCACTTTAAAAAGACTCTCTAAAACTGATACGAAATCATCATTTCCAGCTTGCATATAATAGTCTGTACCTCAAATTACTTTTTATTTGCAGAACACAACTTTCCTGCCTCTCTGCTTATGCTCATTTGATTACTTCTTCCTGAAATCTCACCTACTTTTAATTTCAACCTGTCAAAATTATGCCTCTTTGTAAGGCCCAGCTTAGATGCCATTGCTGCAATAAAGCCTGCCAAGATAACTTCAGTTAACATCTGGGTTTCTGTATGAAATCTTCTTACTCTACAAACTTTGCATTAATTAGTCATCTGTAAACATGTCTTCTTTAGTAGAGCAGAAGTTCCCTAAAAGTAGGTACCACATCTAATTCTTTGTATTTTCAGTGTCCAGCTTAATGTTACACAGAAAGCATTCATAATATTGGTCAAATAAAATAATCTTAAGAAATAAGTCATAATGTTATTTATGACTTACTTATTATGTTATTAATAATGTTATCAATTATAGTCCTACCTACTTTATAAAATGCATATCAATACTTACACCTCTATACTTAAGTAGTTCAAATAAATTATTCAGTAAACATTTATTTTTCTCTAAACATTCCATAAGCATTATTTCACAGGACTTTCAAAAAATACTTAAAATTTCCCAACCTATCATTTTCAACTTACCAAATTGTAAATTCCTAACAGAAGTGCTTCAATGCAACCATTACTCTGTCTGTCTCGGCTAACTGTAAGCCGTAAATAAACCCACATCAATTCTGGCAAGAACTGCAACGTGAACCTCTTAAGTCGAACTTCAGAGCTACGATAGAGCTCAAACAACTGATGGCAGACAGGTTCCAGGAGCTAAAAGGCAAATAAAGTGCATTAGTTATCTACATTCTTTCAGCTGTAATTATTCTTTTTATAAAGAGATGGGGTCTTGCTCTGTTGTTCAGGCTGAAATGCAGTGGCACAATCATAGCTCACTGCAACCTTGAACCCCTGGTCTTAAGCCATCATCCTGCTTCAGCCTACTGAGTAGCTGGGACTTATAGAAGCATGCCACCACTCCTGGCAACTCTATTTCCTAAAAGATACATACACCTGTATATTTTAAAAATAAATTCTCAATATTATTTTCTCCATATTTTGAGTTAATTTGACCAAAACCTTTAATCTCCACTTACGTAAAGAGACCACAAATTAAAATAACAAATCCACTAACTATAAGAAGTATTTTGTGGCTGGTCTTTGCCCTCAAAGGAACTTAAGTCTAGTAGAAGGAAATAAATTTAAACAGTATTTATGATAAAGGTAAGGCTTCATGGAGGAGGTGATTGTGCTGACCCTGAGGAAGATGAGGAGAATGAAGATGAGACAGGGAGATTTGAAAACGAAGAAGAAAAAGAAGGGAAAGCTGCCTAAGAATTATGACCCGAAGATTACCACAGATCCAGAAAGATGGCTCCCAATGCGGGAACGTTCTTATTACCAAGGAAGAAAGAAGGGTAAAAAGAAGGATCAGATTGGGAAAGGAACCCAGGGAGCAACTGCAGGAGCTTCATCTGAACTGGACGCCAGTAAAACTGTGAGCAGCCCACCCACCTCCCCAAGACCTGGTAGTGCAACAACAGTATCTGCCTCTACAAGTAACATCATACCCCCAAGACATCAGAAACCTGCAGGGGCTCCAGCAACAACAACAACAAAAAAAAACAGCAACAGAAAAAGAAGAAAGGTGGAAAAGGTGGCTGGTGATTAGAACATTCTTGTTGCAGGCTGTTTCGAAACTAGTCTCAGTGACACTAGGAAAGTAAATAAAGGTAACACAGCAAGAAGCATGGAACTACTCCATCTTCCATCTCCATATTTTCACAAAATAATTTCTCGTGCATCAAATAGGAAAACATCTTCCTCAAACTCTGCCTAGTGAGATTTGGCTTACTTCTACCACCCAGCTTTGCACACGTTATGAGTATTGAAAATAATTGGGCATAAATTTATATACCTTGATATCTGTTGCATACTTTATCTTCTTGTGCTGATTTGATGTTTTTTAGTTTCACAAACAAGGCATGTTAGTTAAGGTTTCCCAGGATTTAAACAGAAACTACTGCTATTTCAACTAGAATCTGAAAATAATTGTTCTGATTCAAGTCCCACTTTAAATTATGTCTTAGGAGGCCTTTGGAGACTGAAAGTGGAATCTTCTGAGCATTCCAAAATACCCATTTAGAAATATCATGTGATAAAAAGGGAACTTATGAATACACTGGTGTTCTTTACTTAATTGAGTGGCCACAAGAAAAATAAAGTAAATGTCTTAAATAATTTTAATCATAAATCTCCTTCATGTGATTATTGGAATGTGAGATACTTTCCATATTTATATCTGGCTCCTTTGTGCCCCATATCATTTTCAGATTATGGTAACATGCTGATTTAGCACCATGAAAGAATTGAAGGAAAATATATCAATGTTGCTTAGACCCAGTGTTCTGAGGTCAGATGGGTTTGGACTGTCTCAATCAGAAAGATTAATGGCGCTTATCAAGAACCTGAACATTGACTTTCTACATAGAGAGAAAATAAGTACCCAGGTTCCATACCAGGGAGTATTAAAATCCAACAGGACTGTTTGGCCCAATTAATAGATACTCAAATGGCTTCTCTTTCTAGTTATGGATTATGACCATTCGTTACCTTTCTCAAAATAATTATTTTGTAGTCAATTTGTGGTGTAAATGTTGCTCTTGTCTTTCCTTGCTTACAAGCCTCTTTCACATTGAACAGCTATGAGACAGACACATTGGGATGCCTACCCTTGTTAGTATTCATTCTATGCTGCCCAAGATATCATTTCATTTAGACTTAAGAATATTTCCTTGTGATCATATTACTCCGTCCTTGTTAATAAAGTGCTGCTGTGTTTGACTCTAAAAAAAAAAAAAGAAGAAGTATTTTGTGCCCGTATAATATCAACATACCTTTCAATACACTGTACTAAATATATTAATTAGTCCTTCAGCCAATTTACTACATTTATATTTGGTGATTTTCTCTTTTTGCTCTTACCAACTCTTTTTACTTTCCATTTTTAAAAGTTTCCATTGGAATAAAATAATTTTAAATAATCTTATTGGAAATAAACTTGAAACCTCAACTGAGACTATGATTTAACCAAATTATATACCACTCAGTATAGAAAGGGATTTTGTATCATATTTGGCATCCAAAATTCTAGCCAATACTTTAAATACATACAAGTAAAAAACTGATTACTTTTATGTTTTACAACTGACTTAAATTTTACTAATTATATTTATTTGAAAGATTCTAAAAAGGGGAAAAGCATACAGAAATAGCTTTTTAAATGTTTAATTGGCTAACTTTTCATATGATATCACACATTATGACTTGTGAGGAACTTTATGACCTACAGAAGTAAAGAAAATGAGCAGTTAAAGTAAACTTCCCCGCTTTTCCCTAAGTGTGTATTGCCAATTTAGAATGGCTTTGCTGGAGTAACTATAGATTGCACAAAACTGGCTATGACTTTAAAATTCACATAAAACACTGACAAGAAACTGCAAAATAATTTTTAAATTAAAGTTTAACACTAATTCTTTTAAAAATTAGTAACAGATCAGAAATTTCATATGCTCACCTCTATTCTGAATGATTAAAATAATGCATAAACATTTGGAAATCTGCTTGAATGTAGTTATGTATGTCTGTAATAATCCAACACTCTAGAAAAAGTCACTATCATAACTATAAAGTTAAAAGTTAACAAATCTATGTCAATTGTACAGTTAATATATTTAGATGAGTTAAGCTTAGCCCTTGGAGAACAACTTTAAAGCTTAAAAAATTATACACACACTAGTCTAGAAAATACTAAGCCCTTTATGTGGAATCACCATCAGAGCATAGTTTTAAAATCTTCAAAAATCTTCATCTCTCCCCCTAACACTGAAGTCTAGACCAGTCAGACAATTTGTTGAAGGTCACAGAAGTTAGTTGTGGAGAAAGACACTAAATTCAGGTCTTCTTGCATCAAACTAAGGTTTTCACTCCACCAGATTTTTAATACTATAATGGAAGTGCAGATTGTTTAACTGAAAATTGTACATTTCATGTAGTGCCAATAATGAACAAGCAATAAACTTTTGATAACAGTCAATTGCTGGCATTGTCCTTAAATACCGACAGCAATGTTCAGCTCTTTTGGGGAAGTAAAGATTGTTGCTCTTATAAATTTATGTATTAAAAACATACACTTATGCTTCAAATTCAGTCTCTTCTTCAGTTAAAAATTCTACAAAGACTGCCTTCTCTAAATTTTATGAGCCATGGGACAATTAGGATGAGTTTCTGCTATAAAGACCTTAACCTTCCAGTTGTTATACATGCCTATGTTGGCAGATAGGCCACTATATTTTAATTAAGCACAGTGAAGAAATATAGTTATCAAAATTATTACTATGTTTTTTTAAAGAGGAGAAGGGTGGATATTGGGAACCCAGTAACTTTTAGTCAGATATCACTACAAAGTAAGACTGTTAAAAACTTGCCAATGTTAAACCCTTTAATTCTGTGTATTAATATGTCATCATGCTCTCAAATTCTCAATATAATAAATGCCTTTGACCTCCTTTAAATGGCTCTATCACCCATATTAAAAGGGTTAAAAATCATTATCTTCAGGTTAAAAAATTCATAAGAATAACTGACACCTTTCCCAAACTTAGCAAACACTGTTTTGACATGATAATTATTATGAGACATGCTATCTGATGAACACACTGAGAGCATTCTGGGTGAAAGAGTAGAGACTGAAGCCTAACTTGAGTGGGTTAAAGAAAGAATGTGAGGTGAAGAAATGGAAACCACATTCCATTCAGCAGGGAAATGTGCCCATTGGAGATTTGTAGTCCTGAATTTAAAACGGAGAAGGTAAACAAAATTGTGTTTTCGGCAGACATGCTCAGCTGCTCAGGTACAAGCAGGAAGTAAATGGATGGCTGAGTTTTATCCAGTGTTGAGATTTTGCCCTAAGAATATGAGTTAAGGAAATGAGAAGCAAAGGAGCTAAGAACGCTTGCAAGGGAATAACCGTAATGATGGACCACAAAAATTTTGCTAGGAAAAGAGAGAAGTGAGACACTGAGAGGAGGAAGAAAGGCATTCAAATCATGAAAAAGTGATAGAGTTAATGGACTGGAGGTCTACTTGAAGTAGAAGAACTAGGGATCTGTAAGTAGGTACAAGAAAAAATTAAAGCAATATGTTGGTCTAGAATTTAAAACAGAAGCTGTAATATAAGTTGGTCATGACATGTAATATTAAACCTCTAGCAAATACATGTTCTGAAGAACTTTTATAGTTTTTTTATTTTTTATTTTATTTTATTTATTTATATTTTTATTTTTTAGAGACAGAGTCTTGCTTTGTTGCCCAGGCTGGAGTGAGTGCCGTGGCGTCAGCCTAGCTCACAGCAACCTCAAACTCTGGGCTCAAGCAATCCTGCTGCCTCAGCCTCCCAAGTACTACAGGCATGAGCCACCATGCCCGGTTAATTTTTTCTATATATATTAGTTGGCCAATTAATTTCTTTCTATTTATAGTAGAGACGGGGTCTCGCTCTTGCTCAGGCTGGTTTTGAACTCCTGACCTCGAGCAATCTGCCCGCCTCAGCCTCCCAGAGTGCTAGGATTACAGGCGTGAGCCACCGCACCCGGCCTTTTTTATAGTTTTTAAAGCAAAATTATAATGTTGTAAGTTCCAATTCATATAAACATGGCATATGACAATTTTCTGAAATAATTTCTTATTAACAGTATACTTAATTATGTTTCAGAATATAACAAAATTATGACTAAAACAGGCCTCCTTCAATGACTAAAGTCCAGAATTATTTTGAGACTCGATAGAATTTATCACTTTTGTTTTTCTGAAGTCTGAACACATGGTTAGAAACTTATGACCTGACAGGAGGTATGACCAAAACCCAGATCTGCTCTAGCAACTGGTTGATTGTAATGAATGCTAGGTTTGAGCTCAGATCTCTCAAGTTGTAATTTTTCCATTACTAGCCATGATCCCAAGGTCCCAAACATTACTATCAAGAATTATAAAAATTTAAAACAATGAGAATAACTTTTCTTAATATCATAGCATCCAAAGTATTTTAAAAAAGGAAAAGGATACCTTTTAAACACTTGTGAGCCCTAATGAAAAAATGTCATTTTAGAATCTCATTTTGTACTTCACTGTTCTTCCAATCAATATTTATTACATGTTTATTTATTTTTTTTTTTATTTTTTTTTTTTTAAGACAGAGTCTCACTTTGTTGCCAGGCTAGAGTGAGTGCCGTGGCGTCAGCCTAGCTCACAGCAACCTCAAACTCCTGGGCTCAAGCGATCCTGCTGCCTCAGCCTCCCGAGTAGCTGGGACTACAGGCATGCGCCACCATGCCCGGCTAATTTTTTCCATATATATTAGTTGGCCAATTAATTTCTTTCTATTTATAGTAGAGACGGGGTCTTGCTCTTGCTCAGGCTGGTTTCAAACTCCTGACCTCGAGCAATCCGCCCGCCTCAGCCTCCCAGAGTGCTAGTATTACATGTTTATTATGTACATACAATACTAAATTCTAGAGAAGTAACAAATATAGAATATATGACCACTGCCCATGAAGAGCTTACAATCTAAAGAGAAAGCATAAGACAAATTTTAATAAGCAAAGCTTAAATGTTAAGAGCGCAAAACAAGGGGTAGGGAATACACACGTTCATTATTCAAACAGAAAATTCTGATAATTTCTGAACAAGAAGAATATGCATATGTGTACAATACCCATACCTAAAGTTATAAAACATTCAGAAATACAACGCAAGAGAAAAATAAGCAAATGGATCCTGCAATTGCTGCTATAAATAGCAAGAGATGCAAGTCTAACTGAGAGCCAATCCAAATTTAGGAGACAGAAAAGAAAGAGGTCAATAAGCAAGCTTTTAGTGAGAGGACAAAAAAATGGAGATGCACTTTAAGTTAAGCTGCTGGTTAGGAGATGATTACCTGAACTTCTTCAAACTCACTCCAGTACACAGCAGTGGCAATCTTGGAGGCTGTATCTGGGAAGATAAGAAGCTACTTTCCTGTGTGTTCCTTTCATTTTCATTTTAAAGCACACATGAATCCAGTGGTGATAAAACTGTATGTCATACTATCGTGTTAATGGAAAGATAATGTGTGTATTTTGCATACATTAACATATTAATAGATTCAATAACTGGACTTTTTCCTTCTATCACAAGGCTGAATAATAGAAAATTCTTATTCTAAGTTTACTGATCTTGACTATTAAGATTAAAAAGTGCTTCCTCTGATCATTTTCAGGCTAAATTTACTAGCGGCATCATTTTATGCTGTAAGTGTGATTTCTCCAACTAGAGTGATTATACAGTTATATATTATCAATAAATTAACTGTAAGCAATACTTAAAATTAAGAATGCTAACTCAGTATACAGTTAAAATATGGCTTCCAGAGCAGGAAACAGAAAAGATTCAAATTAAATAAATGATTGAGATTATGGTCACTCAAATCAAGAATCAAAACATACGGCCCTCAACAGGAAAAAATTTGACCAAAACATTTTAAAATATGGAAAGGCAAGGAATGGGGAAAGCCAAAGCAACTATCAGAATGAAAAACAGCAGAAAGAAAAAATTTTCAGAACCACGAGAGAAAACTATAAAATTCACATTTATGTGTTTTAGTACATATATTACATTTTACTATTTAGAAATTACTTTTCTTACATGCTCTCCTACCTCATTATTCGAATCTTGAATCACTTTATAGAGGGCTGGTACAAGTGTTTTTTTCCGGTGTAAAGTTGCCGCATAACTGGTGATCTGAGTGTCAGGTAATGCCTAAAAGAAACCAGCAAAGGAAAACAAAAGTGAACTTAGTATTTGGGAAGCCAGGAACTTTATTTTACATGAGTACCTCTTGAAAAGATTCATAATACAGTCAAGTAAGAAAAGCAAAATTCATTAATATAAGAAAATGAGAGGCCAAGCACCGTGGCTCACACCTGTAATCCTAGCACTCTGGGAGGCCAAGGCGGGAGGATTGCTTGAGCTCAGGAGTTCGAGACCAGCCTGAGTAAGAGTGAGACCCCCTCTCTACTATAAATAGAAAGAAATAAGCCAAATAACTAAAAGTAGAAAAAATAAGCCAGGCAAGGTGGTGTGTGCCTGTAGTCCCAGCTACCCGGCAGGCTGAGGCAAGAGGAGGATTGCTTGAGCCTAGGAGTTTGAGGTTGCTGTGAGCTAGGCTGACACCATGGCACTCTAGCCCAGACAACAGAGTGAGACTCTGTCTCAAAAAAAGAAAATGAGAGTTAACAGAAATTAAATTAGGATACTATATTATACAAATCTTCTAACTAGTCAACCATAAAAAATGAGAAAACACTTATACCAAGATTTGCCAAAATGGACCACCTTAAACTAATCCAATCTAAGAAAAAAACCAATAATGTGGGATGTATTTCAATTTTTGCATTTATGTCTTTACAAAACATTTATTTCCATAGTATTCATAAATTATATAGTTTTGTATCAAAACTATTTGATTTTTAATTATAGGAAATAAAAACATAAGGTATAAATCCTGTTTTTATGCCTTATTGAATCTCTCTTCAATAAAAGAGAATATATTCTCTTTTATTGAATATATTTAAAAATTTATTAATAGGCCGGGCGCGGTGGCTCACGCCTGTAATCCTAGCTCTCTGGGAGGCCGAGGCGGGTGGATTGCTCAAGGTCGGGAGTTCGAAACCAGCCTGAGCAAGAGCGAGACCCCGTCTCTACTATAAATAGAAAGAAACTAATTGGCCAACTAATATATATAGAAAAAATTAGCCGGGCATGGTGGCGCATGCCTGTAGTCCCAGCTACTCGGGAGGCTGAGACAGAAGGATCGCTTGAGCCCAGGAGTTTGAGGTTGCTGTGAGCTAGGCTGACGCCACGGCACTCACTCTAGCCTAGGCAACAAAGCGAAACTCTGTCTCAAAAAAAAAAAAAAAAAAAAAATTTATTAATAAATATCCCCTCATCAATCCTAAAACTATTTTCATTTTTACATATTACCTTCTAGCCCTTATTCACATTAGTGTTTTTAAGAACTGCAATTATTGAAATATGTTATTTCCTATTTTGCCATTTCTACTTCACATCTTATTTGTATATATTTATCCATAGAATGCATATTCACTGCTTAAATTACTGACATAAAGAATCATATCATAAGCCAGGCGCGGTGGCTCACGCCTGCAATCCTAGCACTCTGGGAGGCCGAGCGGGATTGCTTGAGCCCAGAAGTTTGAGGTTACTGTGAGCTAGGCTGACGCCATGGCACTCACTCTAGCCTGGTCAACAAGCGAGACTCAGGGGGGGGGGGGGGGGGGGGGGGGGGGGGGGGGGGGGGGGGGTTCTCAAAAAAAAAAAAAAAAAAAAAAAATCATATAATAATACATTCTTATCCCCAATCCAATTTACCTTGAATTCTGATAACCATTCTTCCACAACACTACGTTCAGATCCCAGCATCTTCTTTTACCTTCTATTCCTCTTTTATCTGCAAAGAAAAAAAGCAGTGAACCTGAGTATAGTATTACTTGCAGAAACTACCAAAAGTAAATGTGTGCTTTTCACCGGGCAAGTGGCCCGGTGCACAGACAGCAAGATACAAGAGTTGAGGGTAGAGAGGCAGGCAGGGTCCAATGGTATAAGAAGTCTAAAAATGTCATTGTAGTGGTAAAAAAAGGACATATTTTTCCAAAATAAACAAAATCAGAACTTAAAACTATGCCCATATCTCTATTGCTAGATATTAAATTATTGATTTTTATTTTTTATTTACTAGAAAATTTAAAAAAACCATTCTGGCTATATCCTAACTTTTATCTCTATAATTTTACAAATATGTCTAGCTATAAATAAAAATTTAGTTTCATTCATTTTTAAATACTTTAAAAATATTTATTATAAATAATATATGCCTGTAAAAAAATGGAACTTAGGGCCGGGCGCGGTGGCTCAAGCCTGTAATCCTAGCACTCTGGGAGGCCGAGGCGGGCGGATTGCTCGAGGTCAGGAGTTCGAAACCAGCCTGAGCAAGAGCGAGACCCCGTCTCTACTATAAATAGAAAGAAATTAATTGGCCAACTAATATATATATATAAAATTAGCTGGGCGTGGTGGCGCATGCCTATAGTCCCAGCTACTCGGGAGGCTGAGGCAGAAGGATTGCTTGAGCCCAGGAGTTTGAGGTTGCTGTGAGCTAGCTGACGCCACGGCACTCACTCTAGCCTGTGCAACAAAGCGAGACTCTGTCTCAAAAAAAAAAAAAAAAAAAAAAATGGAACTTAGAACGTCCAACTATCCATCCTACCAACAAAGATAAATATTAACCATTCTTTCAGATCTATATTTACATATGTATCTATTTTTATATGTATTTAGTTTAAATATAATTGTGTTCATAGCATAGTGTTCTACATTGTGCTTTTAATTAAAACATCTGCTAAAAATACATCAAAGATCTATAGATCTATCTTATTATAATGGATATAATGCATTTAATTATAAATATAAACCCTTATCATTTATATTATAAATATATAATCATTTATATTGTAATTATATTATGTCATTTATATTATAAATATAAACCCTTGTCATCAGTAAGTTATCCAATAATTTACTGGTGGACACACAGATTATCTTCGACTTTCTTGTATCATAAAGGAATGTTACAAAGAACATGCTTTTATATAAACATTGCATTTATGGTGTTCTGTAATATAAATTCTAAAACTTGAATTTGAAATTTTAAGATAGCAGGATATAAATATTATTGATAGTTTATCCAAATCTAAATAAACTCTCCAGACTACCACCCTTCACAGATTTTTAAGAAGCATATGACTGTCATATGTACAGAATAAACTTTCCTGCTCTATATTTACAAAGCTACTACCTCCGCATAGAAACCTAAATTAATCTAAATATAAAATCTTTAATTTTCCTACATTTATTAATATACTACATAAAAATTTTAAAACTAGTACAACAACAATCAGAATCAGAATATTCTAGTGAGTACCTATTGCCAAAACATTACTCTGGAAGTTATTTTAGAATGTGATATGATATTAATACCTAACAATTTTTTTCTCTCAATTGCTCTAATACATAGTTTGCATGTCTTTTTTTTTTCAGAGATTTTAAATGCCACTAAATTCTCACATATATTTGGAACTATTTCAGAGCTACTTTTCCCACTGAGTTTGCACCATGACTACAACCTTTTAATTACTGAGGTTTTATAATACACTTTAATATAGAATAGTACAAGTCATATCCTAATTCTTTTTCTTCTAAAAATATATTTCATCATTATTGCTTACTTCATTCTTCTAACTGAATTTTAAACTTCTTTTCATGAATTTCTTCCCGACACCCCATTCCTAGCAGAATTAAATTTATAAGTTAACTCCAAATTATATCTTCATAATACTGAGTTATCTCACAAGGGAACATAACACTGCTCTTTATTAAAAACGCTCTTTTATATGGCTTAGTATAAAATTTGTGTTTTCTTCATATAGGTCAAAACAATTTCCAATTAATTCCTAGATAGTTTGTATTTTTTGCTGCCTTTGTGATTGAATTCTTTTCCATTATGTTTTCTAACTAGCTATTGTTACACATACAAAAAATGAAGAAAGCAGAGAGAAAAAAACCATTTTTTAAACATCAAAATGAGTATGTTTTAAGATAATTATTTAAAATGCTGAAAATGGTTTAAATCAAGATTTCTGTTTTAGGAAAAAAATATAAACTAAGTCATCTTTTACTTAACTACAAGGAATTAGAAGTTTTTTTTTTTTTTTTGAGACAGAGTCTCGCTTTGTTGCCCAGGCTAGAGTGAGTGCCGTGGCGTCAGCCTAGCTCACAGCAACCTCAAACTCCTGGGCTCAAATGATCCTTCTGCCTCAGCCTCCCGGGTAGCTGGGACTACAGGCATGCGCCACCATGCCCGGCTAATTTTTTTTTTTTTATATATATATCAGTTGGCCAATTAATTTCTTTCTATTTATAGTAGAGACGGGGTCTCGCTCTTGCTCAGGCTGGTTTTGAACTCCTGACCTTGAGCAATCCGCCCGCCTCGGCCTCCCAAGAGCTAGGATTACAGGCGTGAGCCACAGCGCCCGGCCTAGAAGTTTTTTTTTTAACTGTATGCTATTATACAGAAAAGGCCAAGAAAAAGCAACTACAATTAATTTATTTTTTCACATTTTCTACAAAGAACATAAAATGCTTTTAAAATAAAAAAGAGGCCAGGCACGGTGGCTCACACCTGTAATCCTAGCACTCTGGGAGGCTGAGGCAGGAGGATCGCTTAAGGTCAGATTTGAAACCAGCCTGAGCAAGATCGAGACCCAGTCTCTACTAAAAATAGAAAGAAATTAATTAGCCAACTAAAAATATATAGAAAAAATTAGCCAGGCATGGTGGCGCATGCTACTCAAGAAACTGAGACAGGAGGATTGCGAGTTTGAGGTTGCTGTGAGCTAGGCTGACGCCATGGCACTCTAGCCTGGACAACAGAGTGAGACTTTGTCTCAAAAAAAAAAAAAAAAAAAAAAAGCAAGAATGCAAGCTGATATTTCAGCATGTAGCTCCGTTTAGACCCAACTGCCTCACTTCCAGAATATATTAATGTAACAAAATAAAGAGTATATCACAGAGAATGATTATCTTTTGGTGACCATGGTAACAGCAAGCCATAACTACAACATAATGAACAAATAACAAACCACTGAAAGTGGTCAAGAACTACTTGCCAGGAAGCAAACTCACAGTACTTGCCCAACTACGATAAGCTTTCTAAGTACAATAACACACAGTACTTGCCCAACTACAATAAGCTCTCTAAGTACAATAACACGTATCCTTGGGAAAGTTACTTAACTAATCTGTGGCCTCAAATTCCTCATTTATAAAATGGGAATAAGGTAAATACTTATGACAAAGGTTTATTTTAAAGGATTAAATCAATTAACACAAATAAAGTCTTAGAAAGTGACTGGTACAATGTAAGTCCTCAATAAATATTAGCTACTATTATTATAGAAATAATATCAATACAATTATTTAGTTTTTGGACAATTTAGGAGACATTTTTCCTGTGGAGATAAAGTACAGAGATTATTCATCCATTCTTTCAACTAATATTTGTTGAACACCAATTACATGGTAGGTCCTAAGATGCTAAGGACATAATAGTGAGCAAAACAGGAAGTGTTCTCAAAGCTAGCAAATGAAAATGATTGGATTAACAAAGCTATACAATTATCGAGGTAACATATGAGATAGCCAATGATGATTTTACTGCTGCAAAGTTTGAAACTTAGTTAATAATTATAAACATATTTCAAGGTATAAGTCTGGAACTTAGCCATTTAAGACAATACTGTAGGCTGGGCGTGGTGACTCACACCTGTGATCCTAGCACTCTGGGAGGCCTAGGCGGGCAGATTGCTCAAGGTCAGGAGTTCGAAACCAGCCTGAGCAAGAGCGAGACCCCGTCTCTACTATAAATAGAAAGAAATTAGTTGGCCAACTAAAACATATATAGAAAAAATTAGCCGGGCATGGTGGTGCATGCCTGTAGTCCCAGCTACTCAGGAGGCTGAGGCAGGAGGATTGCTTAAGCCCAGGAGTTTCAGGTTGCTGTGAGCGAGGCTGACGCTATGGCACTCTAGCCTGGGCAACGAAGTAAGATTCTGTCTCAAAAAAAAAAAAAAAAAGACAATACTGTTACTATAATTACCAACTTCCCTAAGGAAAAGCCTAGAGCTACACTATCTAATATAGTAGCTACTGTATATAGCTACACTGTATAATATAGTAGCTACTGTCCATATATAGCTATTTAAATTTCAATTAACTAAAATAAAAATTAAATACTCAATTCCTTAGTTGCATTAGCCACATTTCAAGTGCCCAGCAGTTACATGTGGCTATCACCCCATACTGGACAGTACAGATATAGAACACAGTCATTATCAAAGAAGTTCTACTGGACAGCATTGATCTAGATATACCCAGATAATGCAATTATGCTGAGTAAATTCAACAATTCAGTAAATTTAGTTTAGGTAACAGAAAGGTTTTTTAAAAACACACCTATTAGCCGGGCGCGGTGGCTCACGCCTGTAATCCTAGCACTATGGGAGGCTGAGGCAGGCGGATTGCTCGAGGTCAGGAGTTCGAAACCAGCCTGAGCAAGAGCGAGACCCCGTCTCTACTATAAATAGAAAGAAATTAATTGGCCAACTAAATATAATATAAAAAAAATTAGCCGGCATGGTGGCGATGCCTGTAGTCCCAGCTACTTGGGAGGCTGAGGCAGCAGGATTGCTTGAGCCCAGGAGTTTGAGGTTGCTGTGAGCTAGGCTAGCACCATGGCACTCACTCTAGCCTGGGCAACAAAGCGAGACTCTGTCTCAAAAAAAAAAAAAAAAAAAACAAAAAAAAACACACCTATTATAGTCCCAGCTACTTAGGAGGCTGAGGTGGGAGAATCGCTTAAGCCCAGGAGTTTGAGTCCATCTAGCCTGGGCAACATAGAGGAAAGACCCCCCCCCCATCTCTTCGGAAAAAAACAAAACAAAAAAAAAATCTATTAAAAGAAAAACACTTTCAAAAATATAATCCAAAGGAAATAATTAAGATACAATTATTTTAGGTAAAATTACTTAATAAATAGAAGCTACCAACGAAAGATTACCAAAAATGCTAACATGTCTAATTATATAGAAAATTTATTCTTTATCTTTTAAAAAGTTAAAGTCTTAATTTTACCTGTTTTAAGATCAGTTTTCTAAAGGAGGAGGTGGCACAGGAATGCAGCAGAGTTCAAGTGTGGAATTCATTTGTTGAGAGTTAAATATTTCCAACTCTATAAAAAATGAAAATGAAAAACTGAAATATTGTGATAATATTCTGAAAAATGCAATACAAAGAACAGTTTTGATAAGACATTTATAATAAAACATTTAAAAAATAATAATGGACTCAAAAAATGTCTATAATAATTATTATACTGTGTACCTTTATCAAACCCAAGAAAAAAAGCACTATTTTGGAGACCGAAAGTCTAAATTTTAGTTTCAAATTTGCCATTAATTATCTGTAAGACCGTAAGCAGGTTACTTAATTATCTGGAGCCTCACTTGAATAATCTCTAAAATTAAATCCCTTCCAGACAAAAATTCTATGACTCTAACTTTTGAAACATGTTACAATTATACATACACGCACAAAATCATTTTTAAAATGCTCTCATTAAAGTCTTTTTTTTTTTTTTTTGAGACAGAGTCTCGTTTTGTTGCCCAGGCTAGAGTGAGTGCCATGGTGCTAGCCTAGCTCACAGCAACCTCAAACTCCTGGGCTCAAGCAATCCTGCTGCCTCAGCCTCCCGAGTAGCTGGGACTACAGGCATGCGCCACCATGCCCGGCTAATTTTTTCTATATATATTAGTTGGCCAATTAATTTCTTTCTATTTATAGTAGAAACGGGGTCTCGCTCTTGCTCAGGGTGGTTTTGAACTCCTGACCCTGAGCAATCTGCCCACCTAGGCCTCCCAGATTGCTAAGATTACAGGCGTGAGCCACCGCGCCGGGCCTCATTAAGGTCTTGGTATACTTATTATGTGAAAATGAGTTTTATCTAACTTAAAAATTTATCATTTTTTAAAAACAACACAGAAAGTACTATTACTTGAATCTGACATAAAAATATTAAAAGTTTTTTGATCAGAGAGAATAATTTTCAAACTGCTAAAAATAAAGACTTTTACCTCTTCAGTTCAAAACTGTACCACAATTTTCACATCTAAAACACTAAATGAATTAACATTTTAATACATGTTCATTAACAAAATATACTTACTTAAATATAAAGAATGCTGCAATTAAATTCTCTTGGAATTAAATCACATCATCATTGTAAAGCTTCCAATATTTTTTAAACTGAAGCTGTTTCAGGACCCCCTACTCCAACCATGGTAGCTGACTTTTCATCTCTTATACATTGGGCTTTCACATGAGATTTTTATTTTATGAGAAGATTCTACAGTGGCAAAAAAAAAAACTTTAAAAGGACTGACAGAATACCTCTGGAAAGATATACAATAGACTGCTAACACTCTGGGAAGGGGAACTTGATATCAAGGAAATGGGGGTGGGAATGAGCCTTTCTCTTTATAGCTGGTGAATTTTAAACTACCAAGACCAGATTTTGAAGCAGTATAGGTAGGCAGACTAGAGAGCTATACAGAGAACCTCTGTAGAGACAGGTCTCCCACAATCTTTCAGGGCTAGGGAGACAAATACAAGGTTCTCAATTAAAAAAACCAAAAAACAAAAAAATAGGGCAAATAACAGAAAAACTGAGTTTTATTAAACTTTAACATAACCCTAAAATGGCTCAATCTCCAACTGGTTGGAGATAATTAGCCCCTTACCCATTTGTACAACAGAGAAAAATGGGAACCCTGTTGGAAATACTGTCTGGAGCTTCTATAGTTCCTTCATAAACAAAGTCTGGCACTGAATAAAAATTCACTATGCAAGGGGGCAAGAAAATATGACCAACAATTAAGAGAAAACTAAATTACAGACTTAGATCCACAGATAACTTAATGGAGTTAACACACAAAGACAATTATTTAAAGTAATTCTGACTAATAGTAAGGAGAAGGAAAAATGAACAAAACTGAATATGAAACATTCACCAACAAATTAGGATTTACAAAAAAAATTAAATGAGCATTCTAGAATTGAAAAATACAATATGTGAAATTAAGAACTCAATATATTGGTTTTATAGCAAACTAGACACAGCAGAATATAGGATTAGTGACTTAGAAGAGAAGTCAATAAAAAATACCTAAACTGAAGCATAAAGAGAAAAGAATAGAAGGGGCAAGGGAAGACAGGGAAAGAAAGTAGAAGAGAAGTTTAAGAGTTTAAGACAAATGTAGGACCTGCTCATAATGTCTAACATACATATAACAGAAGTTCCAGACAAGAGGAGACAGATATAAATGCGATATTCAATAAAAGAATAACTTGGAGTTTTCCAAAACTGATGAAAGAAACCAATTCAGAGATTGAAGATGCTCTGCCAACTCCAAACAAGATATATGAAAAGGAAATTATACCTAGCACACCTAGGATATCACAATCAAACTATACAAGCAAGGGAGGAAAAGGGAGAGGGAAGAAAAATCACAAAAGCAGTTATGACCTTCAAAGAAACAATAAGACTGACAAATTTCTCAATAGAAACAATAAAAGCCAGAATACAAAAGAATGATACTGTTAAAGGCCAATCTAGAATGCTATACCCAGAAAAAAATATCCTTCAAAAACTAAGGTGAGTTCCTATGGAGCGGCCACAGCACCTGCCCTGATGATCCTGACCCTCTGTCCCCAGACTCAACCCAGCACAGCTCCCCAGCCTCGTACAGATGTCGGAAGTGAGAGCCTGTGCTTTAGTAAGAAACAACCTCACTGGAGACATTGGAGCAAAAGTTGGACAACTTTTCCAGAATAGAAAAGAAACTCATGCATCAGAAAAGGTGACTGATAAAGGTAGCAAAAGAATATGGCTGCACAAATACCAGAATCTGATCAGATAAAACAGTTTAAGGAATTTCTTGGGACCTACAATAAACTTACAGAAACCCACTTTTTGGACTGTGTTTAAAGACTTCACAACAAGAGAAGTAAAACCTGAAGAGACCACCTGTTCAGAACACTGCTTACAGAAATATTTAAAAATGACACAGAGAATATCCATGAGATTTCAGGAATATCATATCCAGCAGAATGAGGCTCTGGCAGCCAAAACAGGACTCGTTGGCCAGCACGATAGAGAAGTCCTGATGGATGGACTTTTGATGAAAGATTACCAAGAGCTGCTGTACTGGAAATGAGTCACCTGACAGAACCCCCTGAAAACACCAGCCACCGTGTTAAACCATCTGTCATGACTGTTTGGCAAATGTAAGCTACTGGAGGAACAAAAGTGCTACTTACCAGGAATAATCAAAACAGAGGTTTTATTATTCAATGAAAATAATAAGATGCAACATTTATTGAGGCCTTAAGATTCAGCAGCTTGGTCACTTGATTAGAAAAATAAACCATTGTTTCTTCAATTTTGACTGTTAATTTAAAGCAAAATATGTGTCCAATCATGTATGAGATAGAAAAAAAATTTTATTACTAAAAGTAAAAGAAATGGAAATATCACTGAGCAGTTGTTTATACTATATAGTACCATAGTATTCTGACCGAACTGTGGATACGCTGAAATGTTTTTCAATCAGGATCGTCCTCCAAGTATTCCTGTTCATTCATGTCTGCCTCAAATTGTTGGTAAATACATAAAATAGTTACTTGCTAATCATTTCAATCCACAATCCTTTTTTTGCCTCCCTTGTGTCAGGGTGAGCATTACATATTCCTATCCTACTGACATTTGCATATATCTTCAGGAAACATCCCATCTGTGACTAGCTTGGGAATTTTTAAGAGTTAACTGTTATGCTCTGCTGGAGTCTGTTGTTTGTGTTTTGTTCAAAACCTAAGAAGTCCAATGAATGATTCTGAGTCTGATTGAAAATATACAGTTTATTCTCAGCCATAACATGGGCTAATAAAAAGTGAACTCAAGTTTAAAAAAAAAAAGTGAAGGCCTGATAACAGAACTGAGAGGAGAGGATTAAACTCTGGGGTGCTTGCATAGGCAACTGGATTTTTGCATGATTCCTTTCTGATTTTGCTTTTAATGTATACACCCTAAAGAGCCAATATAAATGTTCCTCATGCCTACAAAAAAAAAAAAATTAAGGTGAAACCCAGGCAAGATGGATCACGCCTGTAATCTCAACATTTTGAGAGGCTGAGGCAGGCGGATCCCTTGAGCCCAGGAGTTCAACACCAGCCTGAGCAACACAGTATGACCCAGTCTCTACAAACAAATTTAAAAATTAGCCAGGTGTGGTGGTGTGTGCCTGTAATCCCAACTACTCAGGAGGCTGAAGCAGGAGGCTTGCTTGAGGTTGCAGTGAGCTATGATGACACCACTGTACTCTAGCGCAGGCAAGAGAGCAAGACCCTGACTCAAAGGAAAAAAAAAATTAAAGTGAAATAAAAATGTTTGCAACAAACAAACAACAATAAAAAAATGAGGAAAATTTTCAGCGGCACGCCTGTACTAAAAAAAAATTAAAGGGAGTTATTCAGGTATAAAATAATTGTCCTAGATTATAAAAATGGAAACATAGGAAGGAATAAACATTATCAGATAGGGTAAATAATGTAAGAAAATAAGTTGTCATAGTTTAAAACAATAACTGAAATGTTGTGTAAGGTTTAAAGGCTCTAAGATTTTTAGCAATTGTGAGATAGTGGTCAAAGTAATAATTTCTATTATATTATAATAAGAACATTATAATTTTTAGGATAACCATTAAAATTTTATATGTACACAAGTTAGAGAAAAAAATGTAATATTTAATCTAAAAGCAGGCAAGAAAGAAGAAAAAAGAAAAAAACAGATGGGATGAAGAGCAAACAATAATAAGATTATACATATAAACCCAACTATATTAGTAATTATATTATAGTATATAGAAAAAATACTTCAAGTAAAAGACTAAGTTTCTCATACTGGACTAAATGAAGAAGAATAGTCCTTAAAAGGGATATGCTTTACATATATACATAGAATGATTAAAAGTAGAGGATGGAAAAAATATATCATGTGACACTAACCAAAAGAAAACTGATGTACTCTGCTAATTTCAGAGAAAGATTTAGAATTTATGGCAAAAATCATTATTACAGATAAAAGGAATATTACATAATGATAAAGGTATCAATCTA